AAAAAAAAAAAAAAAAGCTACCAGTAATGTTTCAATGTTACCCTATAGCCTTTCTCCTCTGGCCAGGGAAGCCCTGTAACTGCAAACCCACCACAGGAACAGAGGTGGCTTGGTCTCTGCCCTGAGCATTCTGTTAACAGCAGCTTTCTTACATACAACACCCAATTGTGCTCCATATAGGGACCCTCCATCCACCCAGGACATCTGAGCTGTCCAGTGTGTCCAACAGCACAGGAGCACTGGACAAGCTGCCCACAGCACAGGGTCAGTACCTTGCACCGGGCAGGCCAGGTGGAGGTAGCGCCCAACCAGCTGCATGCACTCAGCATCCATGAACTCGAAGGCAGACAGGATCTCACCAAGCATCCCCTTGGAGGTGCTGAAAGTCTGCAGAACCTCAGCAAAGCCTGGACATCCTGCAATGGTCAGAGCACATCACACACTGCAAGGGTGAGTGGGGCTGGGACCCACAGCCATACCATACCACACTCAGGTCCCCCCGCAAAGTGGGGACACCAGCAACTCTTGTAGGAGGGCTGGTGCTCTAAGAGACATCACAAGGCCGGTCAACAAGTACATCTCAAGTGACTGACCAGTGTCGGATCAGGATGGAAAAGGCACCTATAAATGGTCACTCGGAAACAAAGGGAGAATGCAAAAGGACATGTCCTGGAAATCTACAAATGCAGGGCCAGAATGAGATTGCCTTTGGACATGACTGTGTTTCTCTTACAACCAGGACTCAGGTCTTCCCTGCTCTCAGAGTTTATCCAACGGGAGTTTTCTGGACACTGCAAGACCTCTGCAGTGCCCTAGTGTTTGGCAAAGAGCAGGGAGCTGAGTCTAGCTGAGTCTACCTGTAGTCTTCCAGGGCAGTTCCAAGGAGGTGGTGGGAGGTCCCTGAATATGAGGGAAAAACATTCCAGAGAGGTCCAGCAAGTGCATAGGCTGGAGGCAGAGGCCTGCCCTGTGACATTCAGGAGCACCTTGAGGACTATGGCTGGAACACAGTAACAGGGTGCGGGTGGAGATGACTCAGGGCCCAATCGTGGAGCGGTTCCAAGGTCAGGAGAGAAGGGAGGCTCCAGGGTACAAGAGGGCAAGCAGAGGGGTAGCACAGATGTAGCAGCCAGAGGCCAGACAGGCAAGAGGAACAGTAGGAATTGATCACTAGGCTGGCTGCAGATGGACACAGCAGGCTTGGTGGAAATGGTATCGGTGAAGTGGGCAAGACCTGATTAGGTGAAATCCAGGAAAGACAAGGGTCTTCCATCCCATAGCACCCACTGAAAACAAGCAAAAATGCTCAGCCAAGAAACACCAAAGAGAAGCATCCAGGAACGTGGAGAGTGGGATGAGCCCCAACACCCAGGAATGTGGAGAGTGGGGCACACACCACTGAGAAGCACAGAGAGTGGGGTACACCCTACCAAGTGACGTGGACAGTGAGGTGTGCCCACCACCAAGGAAAGAGGAGAAAGTAGGGTGCACCCCACCTCCTGGGGTTCAAGGGTGCCGAATAGTACCCAGCCCAGCACTGCCCTTTCCTGACAGCTCTGCCAAACCCTGTCCTCAAGCTCCACCCCTGCAGGGCACTGCCAGAGGAGACCCCTAGTGCTACATCCTAGGCATGAGGGTGAGTCGGAGGCAGGCCACCCCCACCAATTCACCCCCAAAGACTGCAAGGGAAATTGCTGAACAGAACAAGAAAAAAGAAGAATGGAAGAAAAAATCTTTCTCCTGATTAACCGTGAACAAACACCAACCCTGCACTGACTTGCCACCTGGCTTCTTGTTGTCTGGGAGGTTCACAGAGCTTCAAGCCTGTGAACTTGGTCTAGGTTACTACCCAGACTTGAAAGACCCAAAGCTACCCAGTAAAAGCAAATGCAAATCCTCATCCTTGGCCTCCAGGAACCCCACAAATATTATAACAAAGAGCTCACCTGGCACAGTGGCTCACACCTGTAATCCTAGCACTTTGGGAAGCCAAGATAGACAGATTGCTTGAGCTCAGGAGTTCAAGACCAGCCTGAGCCAGAGCAAGACCCTACTTCTTAAAAATAGCTGGGTATGGCTCAGTGCCTGTAGCTGAAGTGGCTAGG